CACTCTTTTTTTTTTATCCTCACCCGAGGACATTTTTCCATTTTTTTGTTCAGATAGAGCGGGAGGGAGAGGAAGAGAGAGAGAGAGAAACATCGACGTGAAGGGACACATCGAGTGGCTGCCACCGCACGACCAACCAGGGCCGGGGACAAACTGCAACCGAAGTACGTGCCCTTAGCGGGAACCAAACCCGGGTCTCTCCGGACCGCAGGCCGATGCTCTAACCGCTGAGCCAAACCGGCCAGGGCCAGTCTTTTACTCTTACAAGCAATGCCTAATGTATAAGACATTTTATATTTGAGGCTCTGTCCTCCTGAACACAGTGCTTCCGTAGTGACCTGGCAGCCCCGCCGACCCTGCCGAGACAGAGCCCCTTTCTGTCTCTCCCTGGTTCAAAGTGGCGGAGGATGGGCTGTGGGCTGAGAGTGCTCTGTGTTCACATTGCCACCTTGTGGTGGTTTCAGATTCCTCCTTAGGGAACCTGCCCTGTGGCGGGCAACGGTAGGCACACAAGTCACACAAGGGTTGGAGGTCAGAAGTCAGCACTTACCAGAGAAATCATTCACTTGGAGTCAAGGGTGCCCTTAGTTCTTTGTTAGGCCACTGTCCTCCTGAGCGATTACTATAATGTCCCACCTGCCCCTTAGGGTCTTAAAAAGGCTTAGCTCCAGGCCCCCACTAGCCGGTGTGGCTCAGTTGGTTGGAGTATCATCCCCTACACAGAAAGGTTGATTCCCAGTCAGGGCACATGCCCAGGTTACAGGTTCAATCCCCAGTTGGGGCGCATACGGGAGGTAGTGGATTGATGTTTCTCTAACTTCAATAATTCTCTCTCTCTCCTTTCATCTTTCTCTAAAATCAATTAAAAAAAAAAGACTTCCCATTGCTCTGACTATGCAGTAAAGCCCAGTGAAGGGAGTAGGGTGCTCCATATTTGAGTTAGAGTCTCTCTTTTTTTAGAAGATTTTTTATTTATTTATTTTTATCCTTACCTGAGGACATTTTCCCATTTTTTTATTCAGATAGAGCAGGAGGGAGAGAGAGGAAGAGAAACATCGACGTGAAAGGGACACATTGAGAGGCTGCCACCCACATGACCCAACCAGGGCCGGGGACAAACTGCAACCAAAGTACATGCCCTTAGCAGGAACTGAACCCAGGTCTCTCTGGACTGCAGACTGATGCTTTAACTGCCGAGCCAAACCGGCCAGGGCAAGTTAGAGTCTCTTGCCAAAGAGCTTAGAGTTTTTGGCCTTTCCTACAACACAGACTTTTATTTTCCTTTGCTTCCTGCTTAAAGGTTACATAGAATGCCCCTTTTATTTATTTTTATTTTTTTTTATCCTCACCCGAGGACATTTTTCCTTTTTTTTTTTTTTTTTTTGTACAGATAGAGTGGGAGGGAGAGAGAGGAAGAGAGAGAGGGAAACATCGACGTGAAAGGGACACATCGAGTGGCTGCTACCCGCACGACCAACCAGGGCCGGGGACAAACTGCAACCGAGGTACGTGCCCTTAGCGGGAACCGAACCCGGGTCTCTCCGGACCGCAGGCAGACGCTCCAACCGTGAGCCAAACCGGCCAGGGCAGAATGCCCCTTTTATAACAAGGCTATATGATTTTGCCCTGGTTCCATTCTGTAACCTTCAAAACTATACTTCATATCCCCAAAATCACACTTATAAATTATACTTTGAATTTATGGATTTGCTCATGGGATGCTATCTATAATTTACTTTAAAACACTTTGGCATGGAGAGTGGGATATACATTTGTGTTTTAGTTTAAGCCACACTAGGGGAGCTGACTATTCTAACTCTGGTGGTGACTGGCTAGTGTGGTACCAGAAAGATTCTGACCCGGAAGAAGGTACCATAACACTTCTGTTTTCCATATCTCCGATCAGCACTGGCTTTGTCATTTGCCTTTTGGCATTGCTTCTAGTGGCTTTTGTTTTTAGCTTCATAGAGTTTTATTAGTCTTTAAAAAAAAATTACCCCTGGATTTTGAGTCTTTGTTAGGAAGAGCCACATTATAAAAGAATTTATTCATGTTTTCTTAAATAGGGTTTTTATGTGATCGCTGATCCACTTGGAGTTTGCTGTTGTGCATAGGGTGAGCCATAGCTTGGTTTGTCTCTTCATGAGCCAGTACCCCATTTAATTACAGAGGCCTTAGAGTTTAGTTGCAGTATCTGATAGGGTTAATTTCTCCTCACAGCTCTTGTTTCTCCCCCTTGTCAATTGCCTTTATATATTACTATAGGTATTAGCTTGCAATCGTCAATTGTGTTGCACATTTCAAAAAACTCCATCTGACTAATCCCTTTGTATATGCTTTTACTATACAAAATTTTAAAGTTTTACAAGGTTAGTCACATAAGTACAGCCATTGATGTTTTAAAATTAAATTTATTGGGGTGGCATTGGTTAAGAGGATCATGTAGGTTTCAGGTGTAGATTTCTATGATTTCAGATCTGTATATTGCACTGTGTGCCCACCACCCGGATTCAAATCTTCCGTCACCATATATTAGGCCCTTGTCACTCCCCCACCCTGCCACCCCCTTCTCTCTGGCAACCATCACACTGCTGTTTGTGTCCACAAATTTCAGTTTTATATTCTGCATGTGAGTAAAATCATATGCAGAATATGATTAGCTTTCTCTGATTGGCTTATTTCATTTAGTATCAGTCCATCCACAAATGGCAGTATTTCATCTTTTCTCACGGCTGAGTAGCATTGCATTGTGCACATGTACCACATCTTCTCTACCCAATCCTCCATCAAAGGACACTTTGGTTGTCTCCATGTCTTGGCCACCGTGAATACTGCAATGAACATAGAGGTACATATATCTTTGTGAATATGTATTTTCCAATTTTTCTGGTAGATAGCCAGGAAGGGATCGCTGGGTCACATGGTAGCTCTATTCTTAATTTTTTGAGGAATTGCCAGACTGTTTTCCATAGTGGCTGTACCAGTCCGTATTCCCACCAACAGCGAATGAGGGTTACATTTTCTCCACAACCTCTCTAGCACATTATTGTCTTTTTTATTATAGTCATTCTAACAGGTGTGAGGTGGTATCTCACTGTAGTTTTGATTTGCATTTCCCTAACTGCTAGTGAGGTTGAACATCTTTTCATATATCTGTTGGCCATTTGTATGTCTTGTTGGGAAAGGTGTTCGTTCAGGTCCTTTGTCCATTTTAAAAATCTTTATTGTTGAGAGTATTACAGATGTCCCCCTTTTTGCCCCTGGTCCTCCACCACCCCATTCCCACCTCGCCCTAGGCCTTCACCATCCCTATTCTCTGTGTCCATGGGCAATGACTATAAGTTCTTTGGTTAATCTTCTCCCTGTCCCTCTGATTTGTCAGTCTGTTCCATGCCTCTGGTTCTATCAGTTTATTGTATTTATTATATTCCACATAAGTGAGATCATGTGATATTTGTCTTTCTGTGACTGGTTTATTCTGCTTAGCATAATAATCTCTAGGTCCCTCCAAGCTGTCTCAAAGGGTAGTAAATCCTTTTTTTTTCACAGCTGTATAGTATTCCATTCTGTAAATGTACCACAACTTTTTTATCTACTCATCTATTGATGGATGTTTGGGCTGTTTCCAGATCTTAGCAATTGTAAATAGTAATGCTAATAACATAGGAGTACACACATTCCTTCTGATTGGTGTTCTGGGCTTCTTAGGATATATTCCTAGAAGTGGGATCACTGGGTCAAATGGCAGTTCCATTTTTAATTTTTCGAGGAAACTCCACACAGTTTTCCATAGTCGCTGCACCAGCCTGCATTCCCACCAGCAGTGTACTAAGGTTCCTTTTTCTCCACACCCTTGCCAGCACTTGTTGTTTGATGATTTGTTGATGGCGACCATTCTGGCAGGTGTGAGGTGATACCTCATTGTTGTTTTAATTTGCATCTCTCTGATGATTAGTGATGTTGAGCATTGTTTCATATGTCTACTGACCATCTGTATGTCCTCTTTGGAGGGGACTGTTCAGGTCCACTGCCCACTTTTTAATTGGATTGTCTTTTTTTTTGAGTTGTATAACTTTAAATATTTTGAAAACACCCCTCATCAGATGTATCATTGGCAAATATGTTCTTCAATACTGTGGGTTCCCTTTTCATTTTGCTTCCCATACAGCCTGAGACTGACCGTAGGACGCCCTCCCTCCCCACACCAAGATCACTGGTTCCTGGAGCAGGCCTTTGCCCTGCTTCCAGCGAGCATGTCAGGCACTTCCCTTGATCTGGGCTGGGTGAAGCACCAGTACCCCATCTATCCTGCCCTGTTCTACAGAGTTTAAAACAACAACAAAAACAAACTCTTTTTTTTTTAAATTGAATTTAGAGAGAGAGGAAGGGAGAGGATAGATAGAAACATCGATGAGAGAGAACATCAAATGGCCACCTCCTCATGCCCCCACTGGTGACTTGGCCCACAACCTGGGCATGTGCCCTAACCAGGAATTGAACTGGTGACCTCTTGGTGCATGGGTCGATGCTCAACCACTGAGCCACACCAGCTGGGCTCTGTATAATTCTTTAGCACCCGCCATGTGCTTTGTATGGAAGTTCCCTGAATAAACTCCAGATGTTAGCCTCTTTCTTTGGTCTCTAGGCTCCAGAAAATTTCCCCAACTCATCTCTAAGACAATGTTGGTTAGCAGGTAACTCTGCCTTGATACGATTTTAATCAAGATGACTTTAGTTTTTCACCTATTTTAAGCTTTTTTTTTTTTTTTCAATCTAAGTTTGGAGTGATTATTGGATTTAAAACTTCTTTAAATCCTGATCACTTTCTGCTTTAATTTTGATAAAATGAAATAATAGATTTCTTGACACCGGCCAACATTTGCATCATTTGATAAATTTCTGGATTTTATTTGCTCATCACAGAAATGCCTCCTTTCCTCTTTCCAGTGCTAAGGCAGGTTTTCTTCTGTCATTACTGTGGTCATTTTACTTTTTATTTTCAGGGGAGAGCGCGAACGCAGTCCCCTACTACTACAAATTGTGCAGCCGAGTTTCCCACATTTGGGGAAATCGCAGGGTCAGAACGTCCGAAGTGCAGTGGACAAACCTCGCCCTGGGGAACCACCTTCGTGATCCTGGTGACTCCACTGCCAGGTAAATATTCATTTTACTTTTGATAAGAAATAGGAATAGTAGCAACTTTCCCAGGTAATCCCATATTTTTCTATTCAGATGGTCTAGAAGAGAAAGAAATCACTCATAATTCCTGTATCTTAAGTGACTAATAGTTCTTTGTTTTGTCATAAACCCCTTTGTGGTGTGTCAGGAAGCTTGCAGACCCTCAACAAACTCACAAGGAGCCCTGCCCCCAAGCTGGTACTTGCTGCTTTGCTGAGTCTGCTGGGGGAAGCCCCGTCTATAGCCTGCGGACCCTGTCCTCACCCAGGGGAGGGCCTGGTGTGTCCTGCACACTGCACCCTCTGGGGTACGGCACCATTCATGTGCTGTCATTGCCCCCACATATTAAAGTTTCCCAACACGTCTGTATAATGACTTGAGGAGGAGCACCAGGGAGGCTGTCCTGACATCTTTCCAAGGAGACTAGATGTTACCTGGGACCCTTAGCCAGTGCTGGCACCAAAAAGGACCTGGGGCGTTTGAGAGCAGCTATTTTCACCCATGGCTTTCCCTTCTTGATCCTGTTACCAAACACAACAAAGTCAAGTTCACCCCCAATATCCCCACTGGTAACGTTCTGTTTCTTAACCAGAATGGTGGTTTCAGGTGTTCATTTTATTATGCTTTATAATTTATGCACGTTACATATATTCATTTTAAATGCTTTGATACAATAAATAAAAAAGGAAAGCACACATATACAAAAAAGAATGCCATTATCATGGGGATGACCTTGATTTGCTTAAAATTTTCTTCAAATTAGCCTATTCATAAACTTTACTATGATGATTATTGGTCAGCAAACATTTACAATGCATCTCATAAACCTGTCTTGATGCTAGGGTTAGAAATTCTTTTCCTGTTAAATTATTATAAAGAATAGTAATGCCTTATGTTTAAAAAAAAAAAAGATTACTTGATACACTAGGGTCATCCTGCTGGAACTCGTCAGAATCTATACTCGCAGGACAGGAGTGGTAGGCTACCAAGTTTCCTTCAGCCTTCCTCTGGAATGGAAAGCTTTCACTGAGTGGCAGAAATGTCTCCCAGAATCTATTACATATAAATTACTAGAAGCAGCATCTAAGAGATTTCAAAACTTCTGCTTAACTGGATAAACCCAAACCTGATCTTAAAAATGTTTGGGTGCCAGCCTTGGTCGGTTTAGTTCAGTGGTTGGAGCATTGGCCTGTGGACCAGAGAGTCCCGGGTTCAGTTCCTGCTAGGGGCACGTACCCCCCCCAAAAAAAAGTTTGGGTGCCAGATACACAGAGATAACTAGCGGTGCCTCATACCCAGTTCTCCACTGCTTCCTCAGCAATGAATCCTGAAATGTTAATTTGGCCCATGACAACCCAGAATAAAGACTATTTCCCATCCCTCTTTGTAGCAGATCAAGGGATTAAGTTTGGGTTGATAAGCCTACGTGGTGTGAATAACTTGAAAGTTGTATTCTTAAAGGAAGGGGGCAGAAATACTAATAGACATTTCTAGCTGGTGCAACTTTCTGCAACCATGACTTGAAAGCCACATGCTGAGAACAGGGAGGGGCAACACAGAGGGGACGCGGTGCCTGACCCTGTCTGTCACAGGAGACCTGGACTGCCTTTCTAGTCTTTCATGTGCAGGAGAAAGAAACTATCTTGTTTAAGTTGCTATTTATCATTGAGGGACACAGCTAAATTAATAAGAAGGCCAAATTTGAGTCATTTCATTAATCTAAAAGGTTGATACAATTGATAAAATGCACATCAACTGCTAACATGATGTATGATGGCAGCTGTCCCCATGGTGTCACATACAGGGACATTCTAAGATGCTTAACTCCAAATATTTGAATGGTAAAGCCTGCAAGTGCACCTGTGGTTTTAGACAGAAATGCCAAGAACTTCAAAAAAGAAACTGACTTTATACTAGCTTAAGATGCAAAATGACTGAGAAGTCCCTCCCCATAAGAGAACTATAGTGAGCAATTTAAACAAAACAAAAATGGTTTTATTTACAATACTCAATGCATTTACAAATAACATATTTGCATTCCTTAAGTCTTTTGGAAAGTAATTCCAGTTTGTGCAATGAGTTTACAGGAAAGACTTAAGACATCTATTAGACATCTTAAACCTAATTTCTAAAATTTGAAAGATATTTCACACTATATTAATAGAGGACTGCTTTTAATTAAGAAAAACTAAACTCTGTAGTTAAATATTGCCCTTCAATATTTTCAACCCAAATACAAACTGGATTAGTCTATGAAATAATATCATTAGATTCGAATGAATTATTTCCACTGTCCCCCCAACAAAATGCATGCGCAAAGTAAACATGGCAAATTACATTAAAGACATTTTATTTCAATACTTTTTGGACTCTCTCAACTGGTTCGCTTAGTCCAGAGTATAGACAGGTAAGGCTCCCATCTGGGGAAATCCTAAACCACTACTCCCTGATCCAGAATAGGGAAGAATTTTCAGTATGTGGAGACAGGAGGGATTAGGAATATTTTAAAGTAGTTTCTCTAGGAGCCTTATTTGCTAATCAGAACAAGGTTCCCCTCCAGGCCTGATGAAAACTAAAGTGATAGGTTATCTTCCTACTAATAGTTTGGGGAGCATCTAATCTAAACCCCCAGGGGACAATAGGCTCCTCTATCTCCTCCTCCTCCCTGAATCACTACTTGATTTTAGTGCCTTCTGAGTTGATGATGGGGAAGAGTTCATGCATTCAGATTCGAGAAACTACTGTTATGTCACATGAAGACTCTGGGGCAGGTAAAGAGCGATAAACACTAACACTGCATAGGGCAGGAGTTTGCACGTCATGCCAAGTGAAAGAGAATGAACACCCCCTTCTCTACACTCATCTCTCCTGAAAAGACACACCTCTAACACCTGGCATAAATGGTTGACTGGTACACTAAACTGGAGAAATAAAGTCCAATACTTGACACAGCCAACAAAATTCTAAGATAAAGAAATGGTGAGGTAGAGTTGAGAGAGTTCAATTAAATTTTTTGAGCTCAGACCTTTTGGCACATCCTAAAATTAGACTCCCTACTGAATTCTCCTTTGTCAGACCTTTACAAAGTGCTGGCATCTTAGGAATCCTTGGATCTATTTAGGAATCATCTATGTAAAGCTAACAGAACAAAGTCATTTGGAGAAATCCATTACTGGCACATTAGCATATTTATCCCAATATTAAAGCAAATAAAAACAATGCTATCCATTTGCTGAATTTATTTAAACAAATCAATTTAGAAATATCATAGAATTAAGCAAAACTTCTGACATGTAAACATACTGCCATGTTCCTGAAACAGATGTTGACACCTGATAAGAGTTAATAACCAATTGTTAGGAAAGCTGTCCATTAATAAGGCCAGTCTTCAGTAAAACTAAAACCATTTTGTTTCTTTAGCTTTCCTAGACTGACAATACAATACTACCAAACCACAATCAAATATAATAAAGACAACGGTGGATGGACAGATCAGTACCATTGGTTACAGCTAAACAGTTTCATTCTTGGCGCCACATAAAAACAATTAAGCCAATCACATCAAATAAATCATGGCTTTTTTTCTTTATCACAATTCACTAAGTAATGTTAATTATGGTCCTTGTCAAACACGTTTGGTAAAGGCTATTTACAGTGTACATGGCCGAGCATGCACTATTTATAGTTACAAAGATACCTGCCAGTTTATTACAATAGGATTACACAGTGCCTGAAAATGGTGAAACAGCTCACACAGCATTGAAATCAATAGTTTCAAGCATAAAACGTTCCTTATTTGACCATGATTGCAATAATTAGATGAAAATTCTTATAAAAAGATGAATCCCCTTCAAGAAATTGATGCATATTCTACCCACTACAGGTTAAGGCAGTAAAAAAATGTATTCCTGATAACTGGAGGTCTTGACAATGTCAATTAAAGCTGTCTGACTCTAGTTTTCCATTCTCCATCATATACTCAAAGTTCTGTCTGTAGAACTAGTTTGTAAAAGATTTCATTGTTATATTCAAAAAAATATTAGTAATGAAGAAGAGATGATGCTGAAAAAAAGTAATTGCTAGGGAAAGAAAAAATATAAGTTTCATTTTGCCTCAAAGTTTTCAAATCATAAACAGGAGCTTTATTTGTGAGTCTCATCCTTAAAAGTATAAAACAAATACATATAGTTTATCATTCTTAATTTAAAATATATTGTACTTTGAACAATTCAAGTAATGTAAGACTATAAAAAATAAGTTCAGAAGCCATAAGTGTCAAATGCATTTTCAATGTTTAACTAAGAACTTTTTAAAAATTGTAAACTAAACCATGATGGTTTAGTTAAATAAATGGTAAATGACTTTTTATTTGCACTTGTGATTCCTTTAATACAAATTGCTACCAACAAATATGTAAAGATATGGCTGATTATGCATTTGATCAAAGCACTTTGATTTAAGCATAAAACAGATTTAAATGGTGTTAAGTTCCGTGCATAAGATCCAAAAAGTTGCCTGTGAATTTGTAGGCAACCCTCTCCTAATCAGCATCCTTTATTCCTCAGTTGCAGATGAGAAAGGGCACAATCTGTTGTAAACAGGGCACTGCTGTAAAACCAGGATAACATTCTTAAATTTCTTAAATTAAGATCGTTCTCATTAAATTGAAAAGACTTTCCCCAAGTGTCTTCCAGCACTGTAGTATATTCTGCTGACCTCTTAATTTCATAAATTAACTTTCTTTTGATTCCATTTTTATGGTGGTTGTGTTCACAGTTTTGTTTTAAAAATTGGTTTAAATTTATATAAAACTCTGTACATGTTCACAAATTATTGCATAAACAGCATAATCTTCATGACAGTGTTTGCAAACACATGTCCAATTCAGGAAAAGAAAATTCACGTTTCCCGCCTGGCTTTTTTCTTCTTTTTTATTTGTTTGGGAGATTCCCAGCTAGTTTCAGACTTAGCTGAAAGGAAAAAG